TAAATAACTCTGATTTTAATGGAAAATGCATATTTTCCTCATCGAGATGTCCATTATATGTATCCCCGGAGGAAGCTTGGCTTTATTTGAAAGTCACATTTTCCTGTTATTTACTGCCAAACGTGGCTGTATTACAGTGACAATGTGTTTCTACGATTCACAGGACCTAGTTCAGAGTAAATTTGGGTACTGATGAGATCTTGACGAGCTCAAAATTGCAGTTCACTTTTGATGTAAAAAGCCAATTGGTAAGCAAGGATGGCTGAAATTCCTTTACTCGTGAAGAATACTCATAGAAATATGGGAAAATTCGCCTATCAGCCCTTTACCCTCCTTGATCGACCTATGATGACTAATTACTTATAAAATCAGGATTTATCTTAACTTCTCCAAGAATTTCCTAATGATCAGGTTTTTGAATAAAAAGAGGTGATACATGTTTAACCACTCGATTTAGCACTACCAAGGCTAGCTTCTTATTGACATGTATCTAATGTCTTCTCTGCAAAACTTTGGTTTTAAAAGAAATGAGTCTATCTATGCATAAGCATAGCATAGTGTCGTAGTTCCACTCGCCTCTTCAAACGAAATAGAAGGTACTCCAATATTTCATAGTTGCCTCTGCAGTCTAGGTAACAGATTAGATACAAATGAGCTAGAAAATTTGGTCAAATCAGGAGGAAAGCTAAGCTGATAGTCGGTCCAAACACACAAGAAAGAGAATGCTTTTGCTATTTATATCGCTGTTTGTCTGATCTTATTTGCCTAGATCATAAACAGCTATGAGATACATCATATATCCTTTATTTTATTTTATTATTTGCTTTTTTATTAAAAGTTAACAAAGTTCAAATTCTTTTTCACATCTTATCAGTTATTTTAATTTTATACTATAACTATGTTAAAAATGCACAGGTATGCGATTTCTGAGTAAAATGAAAAGAAAGGAAACGGACAATCTTGAGGTTTCGGCCTTAAAGGCACACGACGAATCTTGAAGTGATAGCCATTTGTTGCTGCAGGAAAACATGATCTGTTCCATATATGTCATTTAATGATACCGATTAATACTACCTTGCGAATACCAATTTTTTTGGTCTCATAAAGGTTGCAAGTATCTTTGTAATCGACAGTCAATCCTGTTAGTCTTGTCCGCTAAGGGATAATCATGGTAGTCTAGGCAATTAATGGGTAAAATGCCTTATTTAATACTTTTTGGACTAAAATATAATATTGAAAATATTGGACGCAAATAAATGACAGGTTCTAGAATAAATTGTTAAATCAGCTTTCAAGTAAAAAGTCTACGCGTCAAGGTCATATGAAAAACAAGATTATGCTTGAACAGAATTGATTTTCGGCACTACCACTGGTCACGTAAAATAGTGTAAAATAAATCCTTATTTTGAGGTATCACATCAAATTTGTGGCCAAGTGACGATCAGGCAGAGCACGGTTTACAATTGATGCATTTGTCTCTGTGCTCTCACAGTCAGAAGCACAGGTACAGCCTTGTCAGAGTTTCTGATGTCGTTAACTAGATAATCTTGCCCTCCCCGAATGAAGAGGTGCCTTTGCAGTATACGCTTGGTTAGAATTGAACATAAAAGCCAGATTCTAAGTCTGGATAGCAGTATTAAGTTACGCCAGGCGATAAATGGTATAATTATCTTAACTTTAATTGAAGTCAGACTAGAGTCAGAGGGGCCAGACTCAGTAGGCATTGGATTCCTATTGTTTCGATATACTAAATTTTAAATAGCTTTATATTTATATCTTGCGAATTATATAGTAAACATTTTCATAGTCAGGGGTGGTTAAGCCAACATTAACTTACAATTTGCTTTGATTATACAGCCTGTTAAAACTGCTGTTCTAGCTGATAACTTGCATTAATTTTCGCTTGCTTCATAGAGAATAAGGTCGATTGACATCTTCGTTTAGATCATCTCTTGTATGACCGAGCTTATTATAGAGAGAAGGAGCTTAGGCCTCTTTAGAAAATCCCTTAAATGGAAATGAAAGCTTTCTGAAAACAGATTAGGATAACTATGAAAGTCATATAACCAGAGCAGCATTGGTGATTGATAAGCGAACATTTCGAGATAAAAAAGATAAACTTAATGGTCTGAGAAGTAGTTTGGCTATTTATTAGCCAGATTATGAGATACTTAGTATGGAAAGAGGATACGTTTTGTACATTCTTGTTCGTTATATATATATATATATGTGCGTGTGCGTGTGTATCTTCTAGTATTATTTCCATAAATGTGCGCACAATCATAAAATATAATCATAAGTAAACAGAGAAGCATTGATCTTTATGCGATGACGATTTAATACAAGGCTGTAGAAATTTACTTTCTTGTGTGACAATCTCTTTTGCCTCATGAACTGGAACGTTTATCTGGGCCCGCGAAAGAAAAGGTAGGATGAACGGAATGAATTTTTCGTGGCAGCTAGGCGATAGAGAGCCTAAGCATTATGAGTAAAACCCTCTATAAACACTAGCTCCTTGTCATATGAAGTCATAATGAGACATTTTCCCCTCGGGGATGAGAGAAAGAAAGTCTTATAAAACGAAAACTAGATCAAAGTCGAGATAGAAGAAGGTAAACTGTGTACTTTTATACGAAACTAGGAAATTCGAGGGCCGAGAAGAGTAAAGATATGCCAATATGAGGGGTAAGTCAAACCGACTAGTGAGTGTAAAGTTTTGCTTCAATAGCCTAATCAAGTTACATATTTGAGGGAGTACACTTAATCGTATAAACGTCATCGGGTGAAGGTCAGGCTCAAAGGTGGTTGTGATGGGCCTTCAGATGGGAAGAGTGACGAGTTGTTACGTATTAGCTATGTGGACATAAATGTAGGAAAATTGTGTTGAATAAATGGTAGTACCGGCAATTTCCTAGACTATATAATAGAACTGCCAAGTTCTCCTCTGAGAGTATTTATTTGACGAGGATGATGATGGGCCCAGCTATCGCTGAATCAGACTGCATCCGTTATGATGCTTAGTTTAATTTCGGTGCCTATGAATGAAAGAGCTGTGCTGGTATCGATACAATCTGGTATGGTGATGGTGTAGGGTGGCTGAGGGATGATACTCCAATAGAAAAGTAAAAATATACTTTTAAGGTAAGTCCTATAGTCCCCATCGTTAAAGAACATGATAGAAAGTACAGCAATAGAAAAGGGAAGATAGCATATACAAGGGAAAATGATAGAGGGAAAGATTTGGCTGGGGCTTGGTTAAATATTAGCAGTGATAGAAATAGTGAAGGCAACCAAAGTGTTAACAGATAAATTAAGCTCGAGAACGAGTATCCAAAGTTTTGAATAATTCCCATTAGCATATAACTTGTATCATTAGTACCAATGGAAGTAGAATAACGAAGGTGATCGGCACCAGAGGTTACCATGATAGAAGTAGGCGCAAGATAATAACACAGGTTCGATAGCGTCGCTCTCCGCGCGTATTTCAAACGGAAAGGTATGACAAATGCTAAAACCTATTTACACAAATAAGTAACCTATCTTTCCCCCTAATTCCTTTACTATGTCAGGCAAATATCAGTCTTCTGATAATCCATTTATGCAGTTTTCATAGAAATGTTTTGACCGGTTGATGTGACTGCCGGCAAGACTACAACGGCTTGAGGAGTGGCTGCCTCACTGATGGCACTGATCTATCGCAACTAGCATGGTAAGCCGGAAGGCTTAAGTAGCACTGCTGCCATTTATGAATGTCGGAAGTCGCCGATGAAGTGTGCCTCCTCCAACTCTCCTACTAATTCCGTCCGTTCTACAACCTCCTGTCGATTCACTTGGCTCACTCTGGAAGGCATTGCATCTGGTTCAACAGTCTGTCCACATTCTTCCAGACTTAGTCGACCATCGGCTGCTGTTATTTTATAAGACAATTGGTCAACGGGAGGCCGAGGCGCAAAACGACTGGGTTTGCAGGCAAAAAAGCCCCTCTCCACCTGTCCTGGTGGGGCCTTACTAGTGCCACATGTTTTGGGATCCTTGAGTGTGTCATTGACCATGTCTAAAAGTACTTCGGGGCCACATGAGTCCAGTGTCTGGCCGAATTCTGTAGGTCTTTCTGAAGAGCCAGATGAGCCATGGTCAACGAGGGTGGCCTCCCCTGTTAGTTCACGTGTAACAAACGGAGATGAAACAATAGGCGTAGTATGATTCGGCACTCGTGTTAGGGTAAGTGAAACCTTTTTATCGGGGATCAGGTGCCGCCCAACACAGTGCTATAGGAAGCAGTCGGGTGAAGAAAGAGCAAATATGAGAGTTAATAAACTCATATATTATGGACATGGATTTATCAGAAATAATTA